TGCCCACTGTATGCACCAGATACTCTATAAGGCACTATAGATCTAATAAGGTTCAAGAAAAAGTCTTTCCTATTAAGAAACTCTTAATTTAATAGACATCTAAAAAATTTTTGCAACATAGTAGAAAATACAATATAATATAAGTATGAAGTTCAGTGGTGGTACTCCACATTCAGAAAACAGCCTTTCTTTGTCAACTGTCAAACTTTTTGGAGTATAAGTCTATATCAAGTCTCTTCAGCTTTTCAATTCCTAACACCCCTCCTCAGTGCATTGCAATCTCACTCCTATCCCTAATACTAAGTTTCTCTTACCATCTATAATAATAAAAGTGTAATATGCTAATTAACCAGACGTCCTTCTGGATGACCTTCCAGACGAAGCTGGGCTGCAAGGAAAGCCTGGGTCCCGGGTGCCAGAGGGAAGCTGGTGCTGGAAGCTGGGGGAAGGAATGCCTACTCTGGCGTGAATTTCATGCATAGGGCCTCTAGTCTCTACTATAAACTGGATTAGTTACCTATCTCTCCTCTGTATCTTGAGCAGTCTCTGTCTTTTTACATTATATCAATATTGTCTGTTGAAAATCTGTGAACTCTCTAGAAGATACTATGACTTTCATTGCTATACCCTAAGTGTTTCAGAACAGTGTCTGGATCCTAAAGACTGAAGTGTGTTAAAAGAATGCATAACCTTGGGGGGGGGGGGGGAGAGGGAGGAGTGGTGGGTAGGGTCAATTTGGGAAAAGGGAAACATATGTAAAACTTTAGACAATAAAAAAATGCATAATTTCATATTCCTTATCATAACTTATTGCCTTTATGTTAATATTTTATGCTCTTTTTCCTTATTTTGAAAAGAGAGATACATTTTGTTTCTAAAAGGGAAGGGGAGGATGGATGATCTTTTTATATGGTCCTCAACGTACTTTTGTATTTTGAGTGAATGGCTTACTCCTGAGAGAATTTGTTAATTCTACTTTTCTTAGGTAAATATTGTTTAAGGCAATGATTCTGAAACCAAGTAAAAATAATTTAAAAACTAAGAGAGAGAATTAGAGATCAAGTACTACTTGGTAATTATGCTAGCGCCCTCCCTGGGTTCTTCTCATTTTTTACTGGGAAACATCTATGATTAAATATTCTGGTATAAAATAATGGCAAAACTTCCTAATACAGAATTTCACTTATCAATTACAATGATTTCAGTTTAAATCTTGTATAACATCCTATATAATAAAAGGCTAATATGCAAATTGACTGAATGGCGGCACACCGGCTGCTATGACATGCACTGACCACCAAGGGGCAGACAGACACTCAACTCAGAAGCTGCCCCCTGGTGGTCAGTGCGCTCCCACAGGGGGAGCATTGCTCAGCCAGAAGCCGGGCTCACAGCTGGCGAGCGCAGCGGCAGTCAGACATCCCCCAAGGGCTCCCGGACTGCGAGAGGACCACCCCTCCCCGAGTGCACAAATTTCATGCACTAGGCCTCTAGTTTATAAATAAGATTCTTACATGGATAAAAAAATAAAATTTAAATCTATCTATGAAATTAAGACCAGCAGGTAAAACTTAATGACTGTTTACTGTACATCTTGTTCTATACTAATTATATACATTATTTCATGTAATCCCACAAAACTCCTATTACTTATTTCCCCTCCCACTTTTTTTGAGATGAGACACTGGTGATTAGAGGGGTGAGATCATCTGTCCATGCTAAACTAAACTGCAAGGAAGTGGTAAAGTTCTGACTTGAACTAAGAGTAGTCCCTTAATGCCAAGTTGAGGCTCTTAACCACACTGCTATCTAAACTGCCTCTACCTGTTCCTACTCAGAAAAAACTCAAGAGAATTAGTCCCTTGGCAAAAGCTTTCAAATACATCTGCACAAAATCCTTTGTAGTAAATGTACAAAGTCTTAAGACACATAAGACATAAATAGGAAATAGTGGCTAGTCTACTATTGAATTGCTATTCCAATAAATAACAAGTGTGACCCCTCACTGGAATGAAAGACGGTATTTTGAGTGAATGGCTTATTCCTGAGACAATACTATGATCTACTATCAGTCATGCTCTACTATCCAAAAGCCTTATCCTATCACTTTTCAAAGCATTAGTCAGTGGCTAGTGTGTTCCCAGTGGAATGAGGAAACACACACCCAGCAGCCATCCCACTTTATAGTTATGAACAGTGAACACATATTTACCCTACCTGCCAAATGAGGGGTTAATCATAAGAATACAAGAAAATTTTAAATAATAGACTCTCATATTTTTGCATTTCTATTCACAAGGAAACATTTTGGAATCTGTAACTGCAAATCACCAATAAAAAATTACAAATGAGACAGATTTGGGCACAATTAATACATTGTATGCGGGAAACGTATTTATACGTTTTACATTGACTGGTAGTAGAGCGCGGGACACGTATTAATACGTTTTTTATAGACTAGCGGTAGAATGCGGGTAACGTATAAATACGTTTATTTTTATACTTTTTTATTACTCTAAAGGGATGCTAACATGCAGATATACGAATTCCAAAGGACAAAATTTGGGTCTGTAACACATACAATGGTGAATTATGTATGTACTTCCAGGTATAACGGTAATCTATTCAACTGCGTAGAGTCATCCCTTCACACAATTCTCTGCCTCGCCACGCATTCAGTGCGATTCTAAGAAAAATAATTCAGTATACATTTTATAGTAAATCACAAAAAGTTTCATTGAAAAAATATGTAAAACTAAAGTTATCGTAATTTTACTGAATGTTGCCATTTGCACAAAAAATTAGCAAAAATGGCCCGCGCCACCTGTTAGCGCGCGATAAAAACTACCCGCAAACAATGTGTTAACAAATTGTATCACATATGTAAAACATCAACATTTTTAGACTCTTGTTGAGACCATATAAAATAATAGTGATAATTTTCTCCCTTCATTTATATCAGGGGTTCTCAAACTACAGCCCACGGGCCACATGCAAATACAAATACTGTATTTGTTCCTGTTTTGTTTTTTTTAATTCAAAATAAGATATGTGCAGTGTGCATAGGAATTTGTTCATAGTTTTTTTTTTTAAACTATAGTCCAGCCCTCCAATGGTCTAAGGGACAGTGAACTGGCCCCCTGTTTAAAAAGTTTGAGGACCCCTGATTTATATCTTCAACAAAGGAAAATAACTGAAAACAGTTTCCTCTTCACATATCGTTCCTGTTCCCCAAATCAAATGATCTTAAAAGTAGGAATTACACATTTAGAATAGGAGCTGCAATTTTTTTTCTATACAGAGCCAGATAGTAATTACCTTAGGCTTTGTAGTCATAACTACTTAACTGTGCTATTGCAAAAGCAACCATAGATAATACATAAACAACTAAGCATGTCTATAATTGAATAAAATTTTATTTCCAAAAACAGGTGGTAGGTTAGACTTTACTCACAGTAGTTTTCTAACCACTGATTCAGAGTGGGGGAGTCTTCCAACTCTGTACCTACCGCTCTAAGTAAACTTATGAGAGTAAAAGCATTATTATTGCACTCCACTTCCCTAAAATAATTTCTAGATTATTGACCTAATTCAAATCTTTAAAAAAGAATTCCCACAAGGTACTTTACACACAAAGACTAAGGAATTATGTATTTTTTTAATCTCAATGTAATGGCATAACTTTTTAATCACCAAAATGAAGTACAAACACAATGTAATGCTTTTTTCTCATTATTACAGACTACTATTTTTGAAAGAATTCTTTTAAATGTTAGAAATAAATTATTCATTTTGTTTTGAAAACTAAATTTAAATATTAGTATAATAAATTTGAAAAAGCTGTATGTAATTATTGTTGCAGATGTCAGAAACTTTAGCAAACAGATATACCTATTCTTCACAGTGAAAATAACCTTGGTTAGAAAATTTAAAAATTTTCACTTTTATGCTGCTTCCTAGAGAACAATGGAAATTAAAAAAAAAAAAAAAAGGTAACGGGGGGAATATTAAGGTAGAAAATGACCTACAACTACCTGGAAAGAATTAGAATCAGGGAAAAGATATGTATAAAAATCTCTCTCACATCCTACTGGTTTACCGATGACTGGATATACAAGTACAGGATAAGTAGATATAAATAAATCTCAGTTTATAAGCATGTTTACTTAAAAGAAGAAATCCATAACTGTCCCAACTGTGTAAAATTCACAGCTGCTTGCTTCAAAGACAGAGACAGGAATTTCCATTTTAACTTCCATTTGCTGTTTTCTTATTTCAAAAGAAATTAAGAACTTTGTGAGTAATTTAATTGTAAGTACAAGTATTGTTAATACGGAAAGTATTACCCTTAGTAGATGTAATAGTTAAGATGTCCAAAAATAAATTGAAATTCCCCCCAAAATAATTTTCTCACCTAAAACTGAAAACCAGTGCTTTTCTCCATTCAACAAGTTAAAAGAATAAAAAATGAACCCAAAGAGCCTCTTTGAATACAACATCATACACGTTAAAGAGTGAGGTGTTAAGGAGAAAAGGTAATAAACAAAGCATGTTAAATATGCTCAGAATTTTTTCTACCACAATTTTAAAGGGAAATTTCCCATAGATTAGCTGTTTTCTACAAGTAATATAAAAAGATATTTAGTAGTCTCCTCTAATACGCTTAACATACTTTGGAAATGCCCTTGGGTTTAAAATTAAAGTTATTATTTGACATTTTCCAAAATTTCAAACTATATATTTGAAATAATGCTGGGAATTACACTTATCCATGATGCGGGACTTTAATATAGCTGTGACTGTGATATAACATGTCTTTTAGGAATTTTCCAAACTTGGATAAAGTCTAGTCTTAAGTAAAATCTTCTGTGAATAAGCTAAATTACCCAAATTTCCAGTTTTTTATTAAAAGGAAAAATAAAGGTTTTATCCGAGGTTCAACTATATGAAATGTTTCTTCAATTTTACATATGAATTAAGATATTTTTAAAATTACTTACAGTAAATATCCGTCTGCCAGTTCTATCAAAAGTTACACAGTACACAGACGACAAATGTCCAAGAATTCGTTTATGCATTTTCATGTGCTGATATACTGCAGTTGGAACAAGTCGCTCAAGCCTGTATTTCCCATTCAGCCTCCTTGAAAACAAAGTATCCGCTACCAAGAAAAAGGAGGAAAATATTTATAAATCAGAAATTATTTTTAATTAATATGTTGATAATAACAATGCTTTCTAATGTATATGGCTCCTAGTTAAAAGTCTCCAAAACAGTCATAATAAAAACATATTATGTCACCTGAAATTCATTAAGTTAGGCACTTTTATCCTCATTTTACAAAGTATCAAATTCATTTAAATGGCATGTCTAAAGTCACAAATATGAAGCTAGAATTTAAATTCAGGCTTCTTTATTCAGTTTTAATCTCATTTTATATGATATTATTTCTTTAAAGGTCTCTATGAGATAGGTTTTCTTACAAAAGCAGTTAAACTGGATCCAGTAATTTTTAGATTTTATCATTTAGCAATTCCTAACCACACTAATCCTGACACGCCAAGTGATGCTTTTAAAAACTACAAATGAAGACAAAAGAATAATTCACTGCATTATTTTTTAAAATTAAAATGGTGATCTTGACAAACAACTGTATGAGTGATTCCTTCTCTAAAACCTATTTGCTCTTTTTTCAACTAATCCATTTTAACTATCTTTCAAATATAACTGAAATTTACTTCACTGCAGCACAAAATGTTCTCTTCCAACTAAATTATGACTGTACTTATCTTCTATACTGATAATTATGAACAAAGAATACGTTAATAAACATATGCTGACTGATCAGCAGGCACACTATTTACCTACATATTTTTAATATAAAGCTTTATTTCTAACTGTAAGTGCCATCTAGTAAGCACTAGACTAGATGGATAGTAAGTACTATAGTTTCTCACTTGAGTTTAGTACCAAAGATAATTAAGTATATATAAAAAATGCTATTTAAACTAGATTTAGAGCCTAGCAATTATTGATGAGACACAAATATCTCAATTAGAGCGTACAGAATACCAGTATTTTTTTATCCACATACAATAAATGTTTGTATATTTTAAGTATTTGTGTATTTGAAAGCAAAAAAAAAAAATCTTGGGGACTGGTGAGATTTAAAGAATATTTTACAATAATATTTCAAGAAATAATTACATTATCCTTATGTTCTTTTACTGTATCAATCATTTTATATTCTAACTAGAGGCCTGGTACACGCATTCGTGCCCCAGTGAGGTCCCCCGGTCTGGCCTGCGCACATTCCCTGAGGGATCCTGGATTGCGAGAGGGCGCAGGCCAGGCTGAAGGACCCCACTGGTGCACAATTGGAACCAGGAAGAGACCATAGGAGAGCTCCAGGGCGTGTCCAGCCTGACTCGCCCAGTCCCATATGCCGGACCCCAGCAGCAAGCTAACTTACTGGTTGCAGCATCGGTCCCCTGGTGGTCAGTGCATGTCATAGAGACTGGTCAAACAGTCAAACGAACGGTTGGACACTTAGCACGTTAGGCTTTTATTATATAAGATAGCCTAGAGGCCCGGTGCATGAAATTTGTGTGTGTGCGCATGGGGGTGGGGGGTTCCCCTCAGCCCAGCCTGCCCCTCTCCAATCTGGGAGCCCTCGGGGGATGTCCAACTGCCGGTTTAGGCCCGATGCCAGGGATTGGACCTAAACAGGCAGTTAGACATCCCCCTCAAAATCCTAGACTGATGGCTCCTAACCGCTCACCTGCCTGCCAGCCTGATCGCCCCTCACTGCCCCTCCCTGCCGGCCTGGTCACGCCTCACTGCCCCAACCACAGGCCTGGTTGCCCTTACTGTTCCCCCTTTCCAGCCTGGTCGTCCCTCACTGCCCTTGCTGTCAGCCTGGCTGCCCCTAACTACCACCATCTGCCAGCCTGGTTGCCCCTTACTGCTCTCTCTGCTGGCCTGGTCCCACCTTACTGCCCCCCCACCAGCCTGGTCGCCCTCAACTGCCCCCCCCCCCGCCAACCTGGTCACCCCTTACTGCCCCCCCACCAGCCTGGTTGCCCCCAAATTCCCCCCTGCTAGCCTGGTCCCCCCAAACTGTCTCCCCTGCCAGCCTGGTCACCCCACGCAGCCTGCTGTTCGGTCATCTGTCCAGTTGTTTCGGTCGTGACAGCCCCTAGCTTTTTATATATTAGGATTATCTCTCCTGCTGTTAACATATAAGTTCTACACAATAATCTATTTCAACATCTATGAATATCTAAGATAAACTTTAACAACTATGAATTAGTATATTTAGGCTTAAGTTGGTTATACAGTGATTCAATAAGTTTCTAATAAGGCCTGACACATCTTTCCTTACGCACAGAAATGGCCTGGTAAAAGACATCCTCCAGTACTTTGGCTCCAAAGTGATTTAGAACAGGCATCACATAAAAGCACAGACATCAACTGTCTTGCCAAACAATAATGCAAATAATCTTATCCTAAACAGGCAGTCAGACATCCCTCTCAATGACATTTGAGAAAAACTAAGAATCAATGACATTTCTGTAAGAAAATAAGTGATGAGCCCTAATTGGTTTGGCCCAGTGGATGGAGCATCGGCCTGTGGGCTAAAAGGTCCTGGGTTTGATTCCAGTCGAGGGCATATGCCCAGGTTGCGGGCTTGATCCCCGGGGGATGGGGGGGGGGGGGGGGGCGCGGGCGTGCAGGAGGCAGCCAATTGATGAATCTCTCTCATCACTGATGTTTCTATCTCTCTCTCCCGTTCCCTTCCTCTCTGAAATCAATAAAAATATATCAAAAAAAAAAGAAAATGTGATGACATATCACAAACACTGACAGTGTTACAAAAACATAGTTTAATTCCCTCCAAAATTTAATAAAATTCTAAAAATGTCAAATTTTATTAAAATATTTAACATTGTTCACATATAAAAAAGGATTGTTGGTGGTAATTATAAGATCAAAACTATTATTTTAATGATGATCAAGCACTTGATTGTGTATTGGAATTTTTTAACTGAATATTTTGTAAAGATCATTTGGAAAATCAGAGTTGGTAAAGTATTTTCTAAGCAAAAATACTTCCCTCAGCTAAAGAGAAAAAAATATTACTGCTCTCTTAAACAGTTTTTACTAAATCTTTACCTAAAGTTCATTTTCATTGAGAGTCAACTGAATAAAAAGATTATCCTCTCAAAAAGTTACTTTACAATCAACTTCTCAAGTAAAACTTTCCAGAAACATAACATTAAGTGCAATATGTTTACAGTTAAAATTATATTCCACACTAGCCTGTTATGCTTCACTACCAATTAACTACTAACTATCAACATATGACTGTATCCTAAGTGAGAAGAAGGTACTAGCCACAATCTTGCTCTCAACCAAATTACAAACTGGTGCAAATGAAAGATATGACCTACAGAGAGTCCAGTATATAGAATTTTCAGGTAATAAGTTGGTAATTCAAACTTGATACAGTGAGTTAGAAAAAGAAATACAAGTATGATTCAATAGTTAAAGTTCAATTTGAGGGGGCTAAATTTGAAGGTCTGACCAGATTGAATAATTTCTACAAAAGTAGACAGAACAATGTTATAGGACTCCTACTTAGTAAATTCACATTTTATTTTACTATACAATTTGCATAATGTGTTTCCCTTACCAGATCGAAAGTACCTTAAAGACAGAAATTCTGTCATATACATGTTTCTTACAACTGAGTGTAGAGCCTTTAAAATAAAAATGTATATAAATGAATTTTAGTTAATATGATACCCAAGATGGTTCAATTTAATTTATAGTTTTATAGCAGAAAGGCAAATGGCAACTACTCACTTTCTAAAGAAACTGTTAGTAGACTAATTGGATTTGAGTAAAAGAGGAAAGAAATGTCTCTTGGATTATAGGAACTCCTTAAATTTTATTAGACTAGAACATCAATTTTCTAAATGAGCTTGATTACAGATATAAGAGGTCACAAAGAAATAAGTTCGTTCTATGACATTACAATAGTTTAACCTTAAATCAAGCAGCATATATAGCTTCGTTTTAAAAAGCACATTTATTTTCATAGGTACAGTGATGAGAAATATTCTTAAATTAAGCCTGCCAAAGCAAATCTCTATCTCTACTTGGAAAATTCTTTCATATCCAGGGCCAGTTAAAATGTCACCTCCTCTAGGAAGACTGTAGTCAATATAACTGGTTGCCTTGCAACACTTACTTCTCTGCTCAAAAGTATACCACTCTTCATTTCATTCAGAATAACACCAAATTTCTTATACACCAGTCTACCAAGGCCCTGCATAATCTTGTATCCCATCACCTCTCTGACCTCACCTACTACTCCCCCTACCCCTTATTTGCTCTGCTTCAGCCACTCCAATCTTCCCCATTCTTCCAACACATCAGGTATGCTCCTAATTTAGTATGTTTGCACTGGCTATTCCATCTGACTAGGATACTCGCCGCCACATATGTCTAATTCCTTGACCTACCACTTCAAGTCTTTCTTCACGTGTCTGTCAACAAGACCTAACCTAATCAGCCGAATGAAAACTGCAACCGATTCCCTACCACCACCATCCATAACTCCTAATCCCTCTTTATGTAGCTTTATTACTGTTCTTTGTCCATCACTTATCACCTGATGCTTTAAATTAATATGCTTATTATGTTCACTAATTATTTCCTATATTCCCCACTACACTATAATATGTTCTATGTGGGCAGGATTTCTGTCTGTTTTGCTCTTTGATTAGCTTAAGAACAGTGGTAACTGGCACTTAGTAGATGATCAATATATATTTGGTGAATTTAATGAAAAAGTTACATGTTAGTAAAACAATTAGGTTTAAGAATAAAACAAAAATGGAGGATTTCTTTATCGTACAGGTTCCAGATGGAAACTATTTCTAAATACTCCTTCATTTCAAATGCCCTGCTAAATGGATTTAATTTGGAGGGAAAAAGGAGTAAACATATTTACTCAATTTTCCAAGTAAATAGACCAGTAAATGAAATAAACATTCCAGAAATCACAGCTATCCATTTGAAATATCACTCTCTTTAAAGTTTGAAGACAGAAAAGGAGCAAAATAACAAGTGTAATTTATAGCAAATCATTCA